TCTTAAGACATCCTATTCAGAATACATGTTATAACTAATTAAAATAACTCTTTAGATTCAACACTAATAAAATGATAAAAATAAAAAATAATAATTATAGAGTGATAGGAAGCGCAACAATTGCAGAATCAATTAGGTGGATACTGTCGCCATTGCGTAACCTTGAAGCGATCTCCGTTTGTTTTTATAACAGCAACTAGTGATATGGATTAGGTAAAGTTAGTGCCAGAAACTTAGCAAGTTTATTAAAAGTAGTATTAGCTTTTATTGGGCACCCAGTTCCAGTACAAATGTTTTCAACATAGATATCGCCTGCGCTTCGTTTAGCTTTAGGTTTGTAAAACTGAATACAAGTATGGTTATTTCTGTGATATCTGTATATAAAGTTCCAGAAACATTAAAAGTATCGAGTTTTCCGGGGACGACTGGATCAGGAGTGTAGAATACATATTTCAAAGTGTGTAGTTCTCTTTTGAAGTTGATGTGGTATTGCATTGGCCGTGGAATTCACAGCCATCAAAATTAATGCAAAAATAAAATTTCGGTTCATGATTATTTTTTCTTTACAAAGTTGTGTTTCAATTCTTTTATTTAATCCTTATAAAATTGGTTCTAAAGCTAAGGATAACAAATTGCTAGTTTGGATTATTTTTTATGGAATTGAATATCTATATTACTTTCGTTCTAGATGATGATTCATTGTGGCGCAGTTTTATTCTATTAATGTAAGGATGTTTACCAAAACAAAGCACGGACAATTAATATTTGACCGCTATGACCGAGCAAACCAGAAATTAAAAGAAAAAAATTAATAATTAAAATAAAATCCTTATTCAGCTTGAAGTATGCCGTGTTATTTTTTTAAATTTAATTTTTGTTTCTTTATTATTTTTTTATAATAATTTTAAATAATGAAATATAAATCGGTACATCACTATGGCCCAAAATGAAAGTAAAAAAAAAAAATTAAAAATATGAAACACATACCGCGAACTTCCGAATCCTGAAATCTGAAAAAAAAAAAAAACAATTATAATAATAGGAAATAACCACAGTACATATAGAAACGTAAAAAATAACTCCAATATTAGACCGGAAAATACATTTTTTAGATTATCGTACCCACCCATATCTATTTTTCGAAAATTTAAAAAAAAATTTTTACTAAAACTTTTATCGATTCATATATTATTAGCATAAGAAAAAGAACGATGTAAAATGTGAAAATGACATTAAAATTAATTATTTAATCGGTTAAAATATTTAACCGTATTTTTGCCGCGGGTGATAGAAAACAGATTAGCTTGACCAATTATCGCGTCGCACATTGACCTCCTTAAACGCGTCGTCCTGCGCAAAGTGAGTACTATAATATTGGAAGTAGGAAGTTCTTTGGTAGTATATATATTAGAACCAGTACGGTAACATCAATTTCCAGAAATTAAAAATTTATATTTATTTCTAAGACATATTGAGTAATTTTTTGAATTTGGTTCAATGTCATGTTTGTCAAAATAAATATAATTAATTATAATTAAAAGAAAAGCAATGCTACATAAAAACTTAAAAAAAAATTAAATACAAAACAATAATTTATATAACATGATGGCATTTGTCCTTCAATAAAAAATGATTTCTTTTATTGTAATAATTGGACTACTTTTCCAACTACTGTGCGGTTTTGCAAACCATTTAAATAAATAGGA